TAATGTATTATTGTGTGTCCAATTTCATTTATTGTGACGAATGTTTTATGTCATTGATGGTCAAAGCTGAGTAAGACGCTGAGTCAGCATTTTACCGTCATTTGACAATTCAGAGACCCCGTTTCTTACGTCTGATCACGCTTATTGGCTAATTCCTAATAATTATATTTTATTATAAATTATTCTAAAAAATATTACTGTTTGTTAATGCATTTTCATTACGTAGCCCTCTATCTGATCAGTGAAATTTGCCTTTACATAAATAATGTGTACACTCTCATAATAAGCCTGCGTAATGAAGAGAAGATACAAATAACCATACAGTCTCTCGGCCACCGCGCAGAAGCGGTCAAAACGCGTCGTTTTAATCGGCGCGACACTCTGCTCTCAGCGCCAGTACAGTCACGTATCCGTTACGCGCACAGAGCGTGAGACTCCTCGTCCAAGTGCAAGCGGGTCTCGCGCCGCGTAGAGTCGTTTCTCGAGAGCCTTGATTGTCACATCTGACGAGAATCAAAAGATTGCACTGAGAAAACATGCAACATTATCTGTGTTGCTCAACAAAAATACTTAAAGACAGAATGTTCCGAGCTTGAAGATGGATATGACCTCCTGCTCTGAGAAAACGGACTTCGGACCATTCAGTTTGTGGAGTTTTATTGGTAGTTTTGTCAGTTATAAACTACAGGTGATCCGGACGGGTCCAGATTCCAGGATCTTCTCAGAAAAAACACAAACCTCTCTGGTGAGTGTCGTGGAAAGTGTTTGTCTCTTTATTATCTTCACAATTGCTTAATATTTCTTTATTTCTTTCCCTTTCTTTATTTTTTTTCCTTTAAAGATATGTCTATATTATGTCTATATAATATTTTGCTCTAAATACAAAAATTAAATGTATATATCTTGTAAAATATAAAATGTATGTAAATTATGTTATACCATTATATTATATATTAATTATATATTAGAAATATTGTATTTTACAAAATAACCTAACTTCATCTGTGAATATTTATTTATACATTTTATATATTTTTATATTATCTATCTATCTATCTATCTGTCTGTCTGTCTGTCTGTCTGTCTCTATTTTTGGTACATACAAATATCTCTACTTGGAATATCTCTGACATCTGAGAAGAATTATAATTTTAATCTTTCTTTTGTTGAAAAATACCATGATCCCTTTGGTAATGTAACATGGTCAAACTATGGTATTATTTGAATTACCTTGAAGTACCATGTAACTATGTGATTTTACTAGGCCTACCTGTTATATTCACTATACCATGGTATTGGTTGTGTTTAACACAGACTTTTGCATTTGTTAGATGATCTTCTGCCCATCTTTTGCTGTTCTCGGTGCGATGGCTTACAGCCAGAGCTATTTATCATAATGTGTTCACTCAGCAGATAGCATATTATTTATGCTCTGAATGGTACTAAATGCAGCAAATCATTTTATTGTGTGTTCAAAGATTTTCCTTTGCACTCCTATATAACAATACACATGTCAGCAGCAGAATTGGCTGAGACTGAATTTCATCAACCGTTTCTGATTACAGTTCACTATAAAATTCATTTTAATATGCAGCCATGTGAAATGCCTAACACTGGAGAGAAGTATAAAAATCGAGTTCAGAAAAACTGAGTTTGATACTTGACATCTTTGAGTAGGGATTGTGATGGCCATTATTTCCATGGGTAAGTTTTTGTGGTTTTGGAGAACTTTGTAAATGTCACCCTAATTGCATGTATTCATACACACCCACACAATGGTGAGGCTGTCTGTGGGCTGGTGCAATGGACATCCAACCCACACAAATGGCCACTTGCTGTAACACACAATGATGCAAATTAAATCATCCAAAATTGGGTCTTACTACCTTTTGTGGCTATGCTTATGCTTTACCTTGCCATTACAGCGAGATTTATGGTGTTGTTGCTTTAGCAGACAAAGAAAAGCGGGTTTCTTTTGTCTTGTCCAGGTAGCAGCCGATGCATCAAACCCTTTAAAAAAGGATGAGATGTGTTCCTGACTAAAAATACAAAAACATGAATGTCACAATACTGCCAGGCTCCAGGAAGAGACCTAAAAGTGTTTGAATGCCTTTCAGGATGTCTTCTGGTTCTCCTTCACCTCACTGAATATATTCCCTGTTGGACCTGGCATGGCTTTGCTCTCTAGTGGCCAAAAATAAAGAGGCAGATTTAGTTAGTTCCATCCTTAGTGTCTGATCATTGAGACAAGCTGTGTCTCT